GCATTATATAGACGTCGATAGGCGACTCCACGTTGCAGGTGCCAAACTTGACAGTTCTATATACTGTGTGATTACGACGATACTGTGTATGCTTCATCTCTCAGCGACAAGAATAGAAACTAATACGCCAAATAGGGCACACCCCAGCCACTGAAGCAACCATCGGTTTACTGATAAACCCAGCAAGTTGAATAATACGTTTCGTGGTTGAATAGTCACAACTTCATATCCATCTTACTCATGCGAAAGCGTATACGCATCCTGCCGTTGCAACGTTGCCCGAGCAACTGGGCCACTCCGGGAATGCCAGGGGAGGAAAGTCCGCGATGGTAGGGACACCCGGAATAGCCAATGAAGGCGCTTTAAAAGGGGAATATCCCAGAAACTTAATATAGAAGATTCATATAATATCATAATATCTAGAATCTCATAGATATGAGCTTTCATATGAATTACTTTTTAAAATCTTCTCATTGGTTTGAAAATTTCATCTCCTAGGCCCTCTCCCCGTAAATTTTCCTGAACCATTTTTTCATGAGCAACTTGCAGAATTGGAAAAGTTTACACCAAAAAGTTGAAAATTTGACCAAAATTTGGATGCTTTCGATTTGCGTTTGTTTTGCATATTTGTGTATGATAGTGCATTGAGATACAGTGTTGCTCTGGATATGCTCTCGAAAATACGAGCGCGCGTCCCTCGCGCATTTCTCACGCGTCGCTGAAGAAAGTTTGTTGTCGTAAACTTTATCTCTTCCTATCACCACCGTAGAGATGAGTAAAAGTCGAAGGTCATGAATATGGATCACCGAGCTGTTACTACTCCTACAAGCAGACAGATCGAAGACTATCAGTGGACAAAGAGAGCGTGTCCCAGCTGACGGAGAATGAGCTAAAAGAGGCTGTGAGAAAGTTGTTGGACGTTCGTATCCCCCATATCCCATGTATTAAACGCTTCAAAGCATTGGAAACGGTTGAGAGGGCTACATGAATACCAGTTGCTGTGTTTGAGCAGCTCAAGACATAAGTATGTGATAGGCGAAAACATATTCGTGAAAGAATCTAAACTGCTAGACGTACTGAGAGAGGTCTGGCAACAGCTACTGTATCGGATGAGGAAGAGACGTGTGTCCCGTTTTACTTTGATTGTTGCATCTCAAGCCCAGTGTACTCCACTACAGCTCAGCCTGCTGATAATTGGCAACAGATTCTTCTTGATGGATTTCAGTAACACCTTGCTTGAAAAAATATAGACGTGATAGGTTATATCCTCAAAAGCTGTTCTGAATTGGATGCTTTGCCAGTACTGTACAAACTCATAGATCGTGAGTAGACCTCCCTGTAGTGATAGGGAGTTGAAACGATTTGTAGAGAAACAGAGAAAGAAGTATAAGAAGACTGTTTTAGGTCTCTACATGCCGAAAAAGAGAGTCCTCAACATGTCAGTAATCATGCTTGAGAGTTTGACCGAGGAGAAGAAAAAATAAGGAGCGACACTTGTTAAAGCCATCAATGAGAATATTGTCATTATGGCTAACATAGAGGTTTGTGGTGGCTTCGTTAGAACAATACGTCTGATAGCCGAACAAACAGCTGAGGTTGAAAGGATTAAGAAAAGAGTCATGACATGGGCATCACAGGAAGGTGTTCGTGCTTTTGAAGAATTTGTGTCTAGTGGATAAAACAGCAAGTGAATCAACCAAGACGACCACTGCTCTTTCATTTATCCCTTTGATTAGAATCCTTGAATATATTAAACACTCCCGGTGTAATAGTAGCCCGCAGTTTACTGCAACTGGGTATGCTTCCTCAAGGTGAGCATCGGTTTGGCAGCATGGACTCTGGCTTTGTTGACCAAGATTTTGTGAGTCTGTAAGAGAACAGCTTCACCGCTGGAAATATGCTAACTTTGCCTCGCACAAGTGCCATTGGACACCTCTATGAGGATTATGGCATTGCTCAGACATAAAATTCACATATCATTAGTTGAACATTCTCAACTGGCTCGATCCTCTGTTTCTGAACACCGTACCTTTTACAAGTCCTATCAACATACCAAAGGGCCACGGAGTGTAAATCATAATGGTGGCTACGTTATTAACCTAAACCATGAGTCTTCCTTCCGATGGTTGTCCCATTTAGTTCTCTATTGTTGTTGATGTGGTGATCTGAATCTGCGAAGCTACGCAGAATCTTGTGAAATTTCGCTATTTTGTTACCTTGAAATTACTCAAGTAGGAAGTTTTGCGGGAAAACAAGCTTGTGCAAATTGACGAGAAGATGCATAAATGCTGCAGCTCAACAAAACACAAAACGAACCCAAACACCACGTACAGTTCGTAAACTATAAAAGCTCTTCCGGAGACAAATATCACTCAATTGATGTCTCATTGGCAGCTACAAATGCTCAAATAAACCTGGAAACCGAACAATACAGGGCAGAAGTTGAAGTTTTCAAAGAAAGACCTTCAAAGAACCGGGTTTATCCCTTTTGATTACATTCTAGCGCTCTAGTAAAAATGGCAACAACTGCAAGTGAGGGCATACATGAGATCCGCATGAAGATGCATATCATTGCATCATAAAAACACCCAAACACCACGTCCCAGGCCATTGGCCACGGAATCAATTTTAAGCCTACCGGCCACTTTCTTCAACTTCAACGTGGCATCGGAAAGCAGTATCATCAATCAGCACAAATGCTTCTTTCAAAAATCACATCGATCTTTTCTATTGCTGCAGTTGCTCTTGCATCTGATGGGCTGCAAATTGGTGAGTGATGGTTGTTCTCTTTCTGTTACCGTTTAAAGCAATCTAACTGGTGATAGGAATCCTCCATAAAGTACCAGAAGATGAATGCACACATAAGGCGTCTAATGGTGACACTGTGTCTGTTCATTACACAGGGTCTCTGAAATCCGATGGCACAGTGTTTGACTCGTCGTTATCCCGCGGGGAGCCAATTACTTTCCCATTGGGTACCGGCAGAGTCATCAAAGGTTGGGACCAAGGTATCTTGGGTATGTGCATTGGTGAGAAGCGTAAGCTCACTATCCCTCCAGAGTTGGGATACGGTTCAAGAGGTGCCGGTGGTGTGATCCCTCCAAATGCTGACTTGGTATTCACAGTGGAATTGGTTGACATTGCACATGAAACCAGAGATGAGTTGTAATTCTGTATCAGTTTTCTCTTTAATGCTTATCACAATGCTACTATTTCAATGTAGAGTTTTACTCTTGTAAAAAATGTCGTCCATTAAGGCCTAATAGTACTGGGCAATGTACACCATCATCAGGATTGCAATGTCACGTTTCATTGATCTGAGTTTCACTGCGAGTCTGTTGGGCTTGCTGGTGTTGCTGCTCTTTTAGACGGGCCTTTGCATCATTAGCTTTCTTGTCCATGTTGATCCTGTTGTTGATAAGATAGATAGCAGTTTGGTTACCATACGCATTTCCAACAATTGTGACCCTTCTCTGTGAAGATCCAGCTTCAGGATCACCGATGATAACGTTCGAACCACTTTGTTCTTTAATACTTTTAATCGTCTTTCCCATCTTGCCTATGACGTTACCTACGTAGTCATTTGGAATATACAGCTCATGGGTAATTTTCGCATCATCCAAAGGCAACGATATCGGCAGTGGATTGATAAACCCAGCACTTGAGACACCTCCACCATTACCCCCTCCTCCACCAGCAACTGCGCTGTTCACACCTTCAATGCTCTGAAATGTTTCTGATCCTGATTGTAATGATAATCCGTTGAAGTGCGCCTGTGTATAATGTTGTCCACTAAGTGCTGCAGGTAGAGTGTATCCCATAACGTTAGTTGGCATTATACCAGGTAGTCTCAATCCACCGGGCCCATTGACTCCACTGCTAGGGACCCCGGCTTTACTCGCAAGCTCTGCCTTAACAGGATCATAGAATATCACATCCCCTCTCAAGGGTCTCAGCCCTAGTATTGTCTGCGCAACGTAATAAACTGCAATGTGTACAGCATCAGCGACACCACGTATCGTGAGACACCGATCTGTTGAAAAGGGCATCATTTTGGACTCGGCACTGAGAACTGCAGCCGAGTCCTCCTCAATTTCCCTGAACCTCGAGCCCTGTTTCCCAATGACATAGCCTATAGCGTTGTTAGGGACCAAGAGCCGTAGGTCATAGGGGTGAGACTCTGCACTTGAAGGTTTATCCTCCTCCTCGCCAACGATGGCTCGTACAATCAGTCCAAACGCCTTGGCAACGTTCTCCGCGGAGCCCTTCACAAAGACAACGCGCTCGACAACATCTTTGATGTTTTCACTAACTTGTAAACGCGCACCTGACGCGCTCTTGATATGGTTTATGGTTTCACCACGTTTCCCAACTATGAGTCCAGCCTCTTTCGCCAGACAGAGCATACGGAAGCACACATACGTGGGATCATCCGGGTACTTCTTCCCATTCACACTAAGCGCCTGTGTCAGGGCGTCACCATTACTACCGCGGCCGTTACCATCATCAACAGCACCGTTTTCTACGCCGCCTTCCTCATCAACTCCGTGCTGGCTGGAGACTCCGTGTCCCTCCTGGAACGCCTCCCCATGGTCACTGTCCCCCTCCATAGGGTGGTCGTCATCACTGGCGCCAGCACCATCGCCACCGCCACCACCACTACCGTTCGTATCATCATCGATATGCCCATTGTTTATCACCACGGCACTGCTATCGCCAGCTTCAACATCAACCTCAGCGTCCAGAGCAACACGTTTCGTATTGTCGTTACCGTTCACGTCCTCCTCGTTCTTTCTCTTCAACATCAGGGGGGAAAGTTAGTGTCCTTCTTCGTCTTCTGCTGTTGCCGCTGTCGCTGCTGTTGCTGTTGTGGTTTGTTCTCTGTCAATCGCGCGGTTTGTTTTCCCTTTTGATGAATTTGTCTTGTTATTTTTCCCGGTTTACTTTTGTGGTCAATGGGAAACCGGCAAAGGCCCGGTTTTTCGTTTCTCTGTTGCCGAGGAAACGAGAATGTAGAGGTGTCCGGGTGTATAGATGTCCGGGTGTACAAATGTCCGGGTGTTATTATAAACTTTTCCACTTCCTGGTGCGCTCTCTTTATGTCCCACACACAGCTTCTCCAACTCTCACCAGCTTAGGACAGTCTCTTCAACCATGGCTAAGAAGAATAAGAAGGACAAAGAGGCCAAGAAGGCAAGGGCCGAGCAGAAGAATAAAAAGGCTCAGGCGAAGGCCGACAGTAAGGATAAGAAGAGAGCGAAGAAGATGGGCGATGGGGATGACGATGACTTGGACATCGAGACGGTTTTAGCACAGTTCAAGCAACAGCAGGAGGACTTTGAGGCAGTGCACTCTGAAGTTGTGTCAAGACCTGGCAGAAGGATCAACTCGTCGATGTGTGCGAATCCGACGCATGGTAAGCGTGAACTGTTCATCTTTGGTGGTGAGAACACAGTTGATGGGGTGTCTGCGTTTTATAACGACCTCTACGTCTACGCCTTGGAGTCTGATCAGTGGAGGAAAATAACCTCCAAGAACAGTCCAATGCCTAGAAGCTCTGCTGCTGTTGCGGCTCATCCGTCAGGTATCGTATTGATCCACGGTGGTGAATTCTCCAGTCCAAAGCAGAATACTTTTTACCATTATTCTGATACCTGGCTGCTGGATTCCACCAATAAGGAGTGGACCAAGATCGAGCAGAAGAATGGACCTTCGGCAAGATCAGGCCATAGGATCACCGTGTGGAAGAACTATTTCATACTTTCAGGGGGATTCAGGGACCTGGGAGGCTCAACAACATATTTGAACGACCTGTGGGCCTTCGACATCACAACTTACAAGTGGAAACAGATTGAATTCCCTCCAAACCATCCGGTCCCAGATGCGAGATCTGGTCACTCGTTATTGCCTCATGCGGATGGTGCTGTCCTTTGGGGAGGATATTGTAAAGTGAAAGCCGGTAAAGGCCTTCAAAAGGGTAAGATCTTGAGCGACTGTTGGCTATTGAAGATGAAATCCGATCTCTCTGCAGTGAGATGGGAGAGAAGAAGAAAGCAAGGATTCCAGCCCAGTGCAAGAGTTGGCTGCTCAATGGTTCATCATAAGGGCCGTGGTGTACTCTTTGGAGGTGTTTTCGACTACGAAGAAACTGAAGAGAGCTTGGATTCCCAATTCTACAACGATTTGTTCACTTACTCGGTGGAGATGAACAGATGGTACTCATTACAACTGAGATCCAGTAAAAAGAAACAAGCGAAGGTGAAGAAACAGAATAGAGATGAAGATTTAGAAGAGATTCTCAATGCACTCTTGAAGAAGGCCAACTTGGAAGATGAAGAAGGCGATGAGGATAACGATGACATTGAAAAGGAACTGAGAAAGATTGAAGAAGAAGAAGAGAATGAGGAAGAACGGGTGCAGTACGAGGTTAGAAACCAATTGCCTCACCCAAGATTTAACGCTTCCACTGCTGTTGTCGACGATACGCTCTTCATCTTTGGAGGTGTATGGGAATTTGGCGAGAAGGATTACTCAATTGACAGTTTGTACTCTGTGGACTTGGGGAAACTTGACGGTTTGAAGGTTTATTGGGAAGACCTCAGAGAAGTTGAAAGGGCCAAGTCAGAAGGCGAGGAAGATGACGACTACTTTGAAGATGACGACGAAGATGACGAAGATGATGAGGACGACGAAGATGATGACGAAGTTACTGATAGAAAACTAATTGCAGAGGATGAAGAGGATGAAGAGGAGGATATCGTTGAAGATGAACCTGAAATTCCGGACGAGAGACCTTGGTTACCTCATCCAAAGGCATTTGAGACTCTTCGTGCTTTCTACGTTAGAACCGGTGCTCAATTCTTGGAGTGGGCCATCTCAAACAACAGAGATGCACGTGGTAAACACTTGAAGAAACACGCATTCGATTTATGTCAAGACAGATGGTGGGAGAGAAGAGAGCAGGTTCGTATCGAAGAGGATAAACTGGAGGAAACTGGTGTTGGTGAGGTTATAGAGAGAGATACAACCAAAACTACCAAGAGAAGATGAATGTGTCTTGAATAATGTATATAATTCTATGCAAAATGGATACCAACCTGATGGAATGCATATAGTAGCTTTAAGAAATCGTTCTGATCACACTTACCGGCTCTTGTCTCTGCCAACCCAGTTTCTTTTAACACCTTTTCAATTTTTTGCTTAACGACATCCAAATAGTCTCCGTGCTTCTTGGAGGTTGAATCATCCATCATAGCACCATCGTCCACTGTGGCCAGCCATGTCTTGTAGTTCTTTTCCAAAATTTCTAACACACTTGAGCTCTTAAACCCAGCTGCGATGGTTCTGTTCTTTCTGACAAACACTATACGTAGTAAACCATCCCACTCGTTGAAGTCGACCTGAGGTCTGGGGTTCTTGATCTCAATCCTCACGACAGAGGACTCAACTTGTGGAGGAGGTCTGAAGTTGTTCTTTCCCACTTTCATGATGTGCGTGACATTGGCCCACATTTGCACATTGGCACTGAGTCGACAGTACAGCGAATCACCAGGTCTTGCGAGCAGTCTGAGGGCAAATTCACGTTGAAACATGAGAATACTGACTCTTGGGGGTCTTGGTTGGTTGATGAGCTTGAACACCAGCGGGGACGAGATCTGGTATGGGGTGTTGGAGATACAAATGTCAAAGTAGGGGAGCTCAGTCTTCATGAAATCACCCAGTAGAATCTCCAGCTTCTTCTCACCTGGCGTTCCGTGGACTCTCTTTGTCAATTCAGCACCCATACGTGGATCCATCTCCACAGCAACAACTTTTCTAGCCTGTTCCAGGATTCTAACAGTCAGGTTACCAGTACCTGGACCAACCTCAAGCACTATATCAGAAGGCTTGATCCCAGCCTTATCAACGATACCCTGTGCAATGAGCGGGTTCTTCAAGATGTGCTGGCCGAGATCCGTGTTGAATTTGAAAACAGATTTCATATGCTTCTCAGCAGCAACTTGTGGTTCATTGGTACTCGAGTACTTCTTGCCTCTTGGAGCTTTAGCCATTGTATAGTTAATCTACGCTTTGTATGTAATTTGTATCAGGATTAAACAGAAAGAAAACCCGGTGAAAAATTTCTCGAACCAGCCAAAGCTCATCGGTCGGGGCAACATGTCTGTACACGTGACAGGGTATAGAGAAGTCACGTGATCACTACACATTTATACAGATAGTTACAATTCAAGCAATATTATACATAGAGGAGATCTATGAGTAGCTCTTTAGCAGCTCAATGAGCTGGTCTCTAAACTTTGGAACAAGTTTCTCGATGTTTTCAGTGGTTGGCTCCTGGAGAAGGACGCTCTTGCGTTCGAGTTCTTGCTCGTTGTCCTCGTCGTCATCGTCATCGTCCTCTTCCATCTCCATCAAATCGTGTTCGTTTATACCAAAATCAGTTGTCTTAAACACATCGATATCGTTTATGGACTTCCAGTTCTGTTCCATAAGGGACTTGGACTTTGATTCGTCGCGAGCCAGTTTGCGTTGGTACTTCTCGTGTCTTTTCTTGACGTTAGCAATGATGACATCCAACTCTAAGAGAACGGCTTCAACATCAACACCTGGTGAGTCCTGCAGCAGCTGTTGCAAGTTGATTCTCATTGTTGTGGCATGATGATCCTTTGCGTGTCTCAAGAAGCTAAGGATATCACTAATCCATCGGATCAGCTTGTCGAACAACCCTTGCTTATCATGGACATATGTCTCATGGACAAACTGATAAAACTCATCGACATGGGAATCAATCACTTTCATGATGCTATCCACAATCTTGGAAGTATCTGTAACGTACATCTCATGGCTCAAATGATCGATGAGATGGATCAAGTCATCCATGAAACTCTCAAAATTACGGAAGGCAACATCAACATGTGCAGAGGAGAACAATGATACCAAAGGTTTGTAAAACATTGTGAATAGCTCTTTCAAGATTGAAATGAGCTCAGGCTCTGACCACAGTTGTTGCATGATCTCCTTGTCCCTATTTCTAACGTACAATTTGTAAAGGGATTTCAAATTCGAATACAGCTCCACCTTCTCCTGATTAACCAGAGCCAACTGTTCCGCATCGTCCTCACACATGAGCAGTCTCTTATACTCATTGTAGGACTCAAACACTTGACCTGTGAGATCGTCATCCACATAGGACAATTCGTACAGCTGTGGAGAGATCATCACAGTTAGAACAACATCCGACTGCAGTTCTTTTGCTTCCCTTTTAACAGATGCAATCAAATCACTATCTGTGCAGTCGTATACAAAGTACTTCAACCGATCGATGAGCTCAGTATGACCAATCTTTTGTTCCAACTCCGTAATGACTTTAGTCTGCGATTTCATATCATCCGATAAGATCCCGTAGAACAGTGTTTGTAAGAGTGATTTACCACCAAATGGATTTGCCATGAGCAAATCCATCATCGCCTTCATTATACTCATTGGGTTGGTGAATCTCAAGATGTTAATCATGATTGAATACGGCATAAGTCTGTGTAATCTCTTCACCTGTGAATAGAATTCATACGAGTTATCGTTTCCCAGGAACATGATATAGATAGTCGCAGCAATCTCCACTTTGGACCATTCGATGAAGTTACGCAGCATTGGAGAAAGCTCAGAAACGTGTTCCTTGGTCTTCAACTCCTGGAACAAGTCAACCAAACCATTATCAGACTCCAGCAATTTGGCACGTAGAGGTAGGGATTCCTCTTTCAGCTTTGTGATCTTAGCATAAGATTCTTTCTGGAATCTAACTTGGTTCAATAGGAGTAGCAGATCCAGATTCTCTCTGATCTTCAGATCTATCTGATCCTCTGACGATAGAGTATGGATCTTATCCTTGAATAAGAACTCTCTCAGGATATCACAATGTGCAATTTCAACGTCTTTAATCAGATTTCTGAGGTAAGATCTCAGACCAACACGTGTCTTTTCCCTCGGCAGCCTATTCTCCTGTGAAGAAGAACGGGAGCTCTTTGGAGATGTCCATTGTCTAGGAGACAGAATCGACATTGCACTCTTCTTGATTGGAGATTTAGGAGTCTTGGGGCTCGAATTGGAGTCGAACTGGGAGTGTTGTGGCATAGTTGGAGTCTTTGGATTCGAATCCTTATAATCCTTGCTGTTATCCAACTTTAGAGACTGGAACAATTGTGACAGATTCTTTCTAATCTCGTCGTCGTGTTTCTTAGCCATCTGTTCCTCCTCTATTTCCCTCTCTCTTTCCTCATGATCCTCCTCTTCATCTTCGTCGTCATCAATTCGTTCATAGTCATCGTCGTCTTCGCCCTCGTCATCACCACCAAGGCTGATGATGGATTTCACCTTAGAAGGTAATTTTGGCAGTTGTTTCCCTGGGAACTTCTTCTTCAGCTTACTATGGAGCTCTTTGAAGCTCGTGTACCTTCTGGACACGAACACCGGCTGGCTCTCGCTGATGTCCAGCTGGGTCTTTATGACAAACTCGTAGTGTGTCTCATGTGTCTTTGCAAGGTTCAAGCCACTGAGAAACTTGTTATTGGCCTTTTTCAGCTTCCGGACCCCACAGACGTTCAGCATAATGCCATTGACGTATTCGCCCTTTGCCAGATGAGCCTGCAACGTCTCCTTCGACGGGAATAGCAGCTTCTGGAACCTTTTGCTCTCAACCACGCCATTGGTCAGGGCAAGCTTTCCTGAGCTATAGTACTCAGCTTCATTGACGGTGCCAACCCCAGAATTGAACATCGTCAGCACCAGCTTCTCCAGCTTCCGGGCCATCTTCTTACGCTTGGTGGTCTCCTCACGGTCCAAGGACTCGCTCATCGACATCGACATGAAGTGCTCATAGAACACCTGTACCTTCCCAGCCCAAAACTGTTGGTAATCCTGATGTTGAGGTGATAAGAACGGCATCGTGGCAACAAAGCGTGTAAAGAAGAAGCGGATCATCGGATACGTCTCCGACACTTCCCTGTCGATGGTGTCCACGCTATCTCTCGGCTTCGCTGTGCTCAGCGTCTTCTCCCTGGGGTCTCCATCCGTGAATGGGAACCCAAAGCTTCTCAATGCCAAAGGGTTGTTGAACCTCTCCAGTTCACCTTCGCATTGCAGTTTCAGCAGCTCACGCTTTAGATAGTGCTCCTGTGTGGGCGAGAGTATCGGCTCGTCCATTTCGCTCTGTGCTTTGCTCTGTGATTTGCCCTGTGCTTTGCTCTCAACGGATTGATCAACCAGTGATGGCTCAAACTGTTGATGCGCTTCGGCTTCGCCTGGAGCGCCTTGCCGCACAGTTTGGGGGTCCGTTGCGGGTATTGTATAATAATTATATAATTGTTATATGATTATTATATAATAGTCGGTACGTAAGCATTACGTAAGCACGATTATAATCACATCAGTGTGCTCTTCCGAGTTCAGCTTATATTATATTCCAGTTATATCGGCGTCACAATATATCCTTCATTAAATCAATGTAATAGTGTTCCTTGCACCAGGGTGGCTAAGTAGATCTAAAGATACGATAATGACAATAAGAATAATCTTAATGATAATACAATCCAAAATATAAAAGTGAAGTTCTCTCTCCCTCTAAACTGGAGGAAGGAGGAAATGCAATGGTTCAAGGAATTCCTTTTAAGCCATTGTAGAAAACAGTCCCGAAACCTGAGGATTCGCTTCACGTGTTGTATTTACATTCAACGCTGTAACAACGACAAAGTTGCAGTTGCTATAATCAGACGATAATACTGAATCCAAATCCGAGGGTCGAATATCACATCAGCACCTACACAGCATAATTATAGTCGTAGCACATCATCACTGGTCATCAATTATCCTCATAAACACCTTGAACTGGCCAAAAACGTCGTTCGTAGACTCATCGGTAATCTCGACAACCTGTCTCTTCCCCTTGGAGCCCACAGGGCAGTCCCGGAAGACCCTCTTAAAGGGAACGCACTGAACCAGCCCTCCTTCAAACGAGCAGTTGTTCTGCGTTATCGACTTGTATATACAGCCGGACAAGTCGCTCGGTGGCTTATACATCCTTGCCACGTCCTCTCTGCTGAGCACCGGCGTCGGTGGTGCCATCCTTACACAAGCTTCCCTTCGTTGTGCTATTGCAATGTTGATGCAATGTTGATGGCCTTCACTTGTAGTTTTTTTTCCCAGTAGAGCTGCCCCGACGGGGGTGGGAAGTATGCGAAATTGGAAAACAGCCACGCAAAAGATACATCAACGTTGACGTGGGTATTGATCTAAGCATCACGAGCAGCTAAGGACCAGAGATGACATTGAACATCAGCGAGAGACTCGACTCTGTGTATTCAGCTCACCAGAAGCCACAGAGCTTACAATTCCAGTACGGGACAGCCGGGTTCCGTACCAAGGCAAACACGTTGGACTCGGTGGTATTCGTTGTTGGTATTCTTGCCTCGTTACGTTCAAAGTACTTGGATGGCCAGACGATTGGAGTGATGATCACTGCGTCGCACAATCCTCCAGAGGACAATGGTGTGAAGCTGGTGGACCCCCAAGGTGAGATGCTGGAGCAGTCTTGGGAGCAGTTTGCCACGGTGTTGGCAAACGTCTCCACTCAACATGAGCTCGTCGTTGAGTTGAACAGGATCATATCACAGTTGAACATTGACCTCAAGGTGAAGTCCAGGGTCATCGTTGCAAGGGACTCGAGAGACTCGGGGCCTCAATTGGTCCAGTCAACGATTGATGGGTTGGAGGTTCTTGACACTGAATACCAGGACTTTAAGATGCTGACGACTCCACAGTTGCACTACTTGGTGAGAGCAATAAACACCTTGGACTCACCAGTGAGTTATGGTGAGCCTTCAGAGTCCGGGTATTACAAAAAGCTGGCGACTGCTTTCAAGCAGTTGGTTTCAACCCCAATTTCCATAACCGTCGACGCTGCTAACGGTATAGGTGGGCCAAAATTGATTGCATTGGCAAATCATCTCGAAGGGTTGTTATCCGTCACGGTGGTGAACAACGAGTACATCAACCCAAATGCTCTAAATGTAAACTCAGGGGCTGACTTCGTAAAGACAAATCAGAAATTACCGCAGGGAATTTCACCAAAACCGTTTGACCTTTATGCCTCTTTCGATGGTGATGCGGATAGAGTGGTGTTCTACTATTCGGACGATGACGGCGTTTTCCATTTGTTAGATGGAGACAAGATCTCTACCTTGTTGGCTGCTTTCATCAGCGATATAGTCAAGAAATCAGGTATAGAGGCACATATTGGTGTTGTTCAAACGGCATACGCCAACGGGTCATCAACTGATTTCCTCAAGGAAAAGCTGCAATTACCAGTGGTTTGCACACCAACAGGTGTTAAGCATTTACACCATGAAGCTGCCAAGTTCGACGTTGGTGTGTACTTTGAAGCCAATGGCCATGGTACTGTTCTCTTTGCAGATTCGTTCATAGAAACGTTGAAGTCAACAGAACCTTCAACACCTGATGAGCAGCGTGCATTGGAACAGCTGATCCAGTTGTCCAATTTGATCAACCAAACCGTTGGTGATGCAATCAGCGATTTGCTTGCGGTCTTAGTTGTCTTGACCATCAAACAATGGGATCCTTCAAGCTGGGATGCTTCTTATACCGATTTGCCAAACAAATTGGCTAAAGTCATCGTTCCAGATAGAAACATATTCAAGACGACTGATGCTGAGAGAAGATTAACATCACCAAGTGGACTCCAAGATAAAATCGATGCCTCTGTTAAGAAATACACAAGAGGAAGATCCTTCGTTAGAGCAAGTGGTACTGAAGATGCTGTTAGAGTGTATGCCGAAGCAGGTACAAGAACAGAAGCTGATGAGCTATCACAAGAAGTCGTTGGCTTGGTCAAAGATTCTGTTCGTTAAGTTAACATTACAATGATCTCTTTATTGAGACAATGGGAGCAAACAGTATTCTTAAAAAAATAGGGTATCATTTCACTCGTTTTATACAAATTTGTTATTCTTTGGTTTCCAACCTTATGAATCGCCGTTCATCCTTTGCAATGTCTTGACAGAACTTTCCGTAGCACTGCGTTTAGTGGTAGGTGGCTTGTCAATCGTCTTTATCTCCTCAGTAGAGAATGATCTCTTTGTACCTTTGCTCTCTGGCGTTGGGGTTGAAGTTGGTGCACCTACAGTAGACCCCAAGCTTGGTGAAGAGTGTGATGCTGGGAAGGGATCAATCCCTTCACTCTCCAAGTGCTTATTATGTGGGTTCATGCTTCCCAACTCTTTCAACTTTGACACGTGATGGATGGTCTTTGCGATGGTTTGAATCAGCAAATTTGGTTTTAGAGGCTTTGAAATGTATTCATCCATTTGTGCCTGTAAACATCTCTCACGGTCACCCAGCATTGCATGCGCTGTTAGTGCGATAATTGGAACACGTGCAGAGAATGGATCAATAGGATTAGTCTCCTTCTCCCAAAGCCTGATCTTTTCAGTGGCCTCAAAACCTCCCATTATCGGCATCTGAACATCCATCAATACAACATCATAACGGTTCTTCTTAACAGCTTCCAGTGCTTCGAGACCATTCTGGGCAACAGTGACTGTATGCCCGTGCTTTTCTAGGATACGAACAGCCAACTTCTGATTCACAAGAGAATCTTCAGCTAAAAGAATGTTATAATTCTGTGGCACATCGCTCTCTGAAGGAACAACGAGAGATTCCAATGCAGGTTTCAGATAATCTGCCAAGTCCATTTGAGAACACGGTGTATTACCATAACTTTGAATACCAAGATCCAAGCATGTTCTCATATTTAGATTTGGAATTTGTGGATGTAATAAAACAAATGGGATATACTTGATCTCCGGGAGTTGTCTCAACATACGGCCCATTTCCAAAGAATCGATGATAATCACATCATATTTACAAGGATCTTGGAAATGTGCATCTTCAATACTCTTAACCACAGTTGGGCGGAGGTTAATAGCACCCAAATCTTCCTCAATCTTCTTCATGTCTTTGTCATTGTGCTCTGTTGCAATAAACAAAATTTGATGTAAATTAAACGTCAGCAGAGTATCTGATTTTCTCGTAAATGTTCCCTTTACAGGTTTCACCGCAATTGTAAAGTAAAACTTCGATCCTTCACCATAGGTTGAAGTAACCCAGATTTCACCACCCATTAAATGAATCAATCTCTTGGAGATGGACAAACCTAAACCTGTACCTCCAAACTTTCTGGTGGTGGAACCATCAGCCTGGGTGAAGTTTTCAAAAATCAAGTCCAACTTATCCTTCTTGATACCTATACCTGTATCAGAAACACAAAACTCAAGAACCAGGGTATCATCTTCTGGAAGATCAGTAGAAACAACCTGTGTTGATTCATCATTTCCAGTAACATAGTCAGCTCCTTGGATGGATTGTTTAATCTGTTGTTGTAATGGTTTGGTAGCTTTCCGTACGCTTAATTTGACATGGCCTTTCGAAGTGAATTTGAATGCATTACCCACAAGGTTCAAGATGACTTGTCTTAATCTGAACGAATCACCAATGAGGTAATCTGGGAAAGATGCATCAACTTGATAAATGAGATCAAGTGGCTTTTCAATGGATTTAACAGCAAGTGACTTCAAGGCATCAAAAACGGTACCACGAAGCGTAAATTCAATCTGTTCAATGGTCATTCTATTAGCTTCAATCTTAGATATATCGAGAATATCATCAATAATTGTCAATAAAGAATTTGCCAAGTTATGAACAGTACTCAGCATTTCACGTTGATACTGTGTCAATTCAGTGTCCAGAGTTAACTGTGTATAGTTCAGAATACCATTGAACGGGGTTCTCAGCTCGTGTGAGAAAATACCCAAAAATTCAGACTTGGCCCTATTTGCCAGTTCTGCAGCTTCCCTGGCAGCAGTGTTTCTCTTAATAGAATCTCTCAAGTTGGAAACCATCTGGTTGATTTTTGTCTTCAAGGTGTCCATTTCACCAGAGGCCTCAACTGTGATAAACTTTGTAAAATCACCATCAGTTGCAGCAGCAGTGATTTGCGCAAAGGCACGCACTTGCGAAGTAAGGTTAGCAGCCATTACGTTCACATTTGTGATAATCTCCTTCCATAACCCATCAACATCAGAAAACTGCGCTTGCACACCCAATTTACCCTCAACACCAACATCTTTGGCCACACGTGTCACTTCGGAAACAAAAACTTGTAAAGAATCAACCATCTTGTTGATGGTATTCTTCAGTTCTAAAATCTCACCTTGTGCAACAACGTCAATCTTTTGTGACAAGTCACCATGTGCAACAGCTGTAGTAACCGTCGCGATGGCACGCACTTGGTTTGTTAAGTTTGTAGCCATTGCGTTGACGTTATCAGTGAGATCCTTCCATGCGCCTTCAACACCATTAACCACTGCTTGACCACCTAAAATACCCTTTATACCCACATCTGTAGCCAGCGATGTAACTTCAAGGGCAAAAGTCTGCAAGGAGTCCACCATCTGGTTGATTGTTATCTTCAACTCCAGTATCTCACCTTTACAATCTGCTGTAACCTTTTTCGACAAGTCACCTTTCGCCACCGCTGTGGTGACGTTAGCGATATTTCTCACTTGGTTGGTCAAATTTGTAGCCATAGCGTTGACGTTATCCGTTAATTCCTTCCATATACCTTCTGCGCCAATGACAACAGCCTGACCCCCTAACCGTCCTTCAACTCCTGTTTCCCTAGATACCCTTGTGACTTCGAAAGCAAATGTCTTCAATTGCGCCACCATTGTATTTATGATGTTTTGCAATTCGAGGATTTCACCTTGGGCGTGGACGTTGATCTTTTGACTCAAGTCACCTCCAGCGACGCCTCTAACCACTTCCACGATCTCTCTCACTTGGTTTGTCAAGTTCAGTGCCATAACGTTCATGTTATCGGATAAAAGCTTCCAGCAACCTTGAGCGTCATCGATCTTCACCTGGCCACCAAGTTCACCATGTGCCACCTCCGTAGCAATCTTCAATGTTTCATCAACAAAGCTCTGTATCTTATCAACCAACCCGTTTATGGTGGTCTTCACAAGCCTAACTTCCTCATTGTCCTCCTCCTCGTATGGAGCCTTTTGGGTCAAATCACCCTCTGATATCGACTTCAACAGCCCACCAACCTGCTGGGACACTTTCAAGAACTCGTCCGTCTGCCGCTTCAGACAGTCAAGCTCTTCATGGCACGCTTGCGATTGGATCAACAACTTGCGCACCTCATCGGGATCGATTCTCTGAAGCGTTTGAGCAAACAACTCCTTATCACCAAGTGTATCGAGCAGCTCTGTCATCCGGTGCTCGTTTCAAACTAAGCGCTTCAGGGGAAAGGGCTCAAGGACACAGCAACAGAGCAAAAGCACACGCTTTGTTTACCTTTTCGATTTTGTTTGTGCCCGGTATTTGTGCCTTTTTAGCGCCTTGTTTCAAGCCTTGATGATGGATACTCGAAAGGGGTAATTTTCGCGGAAATAGTCCTTAAATTCCTGCCAGGATTGAAGGGACCGCCCCAGGGCCAAGTGGCTTTTGTTTTCGTTATGACGTATGTCTCTGTTATGGGCCGTTTGTACAGGGACGGGGCGTAAATGGGATAGCGCGCACTGTGTGTACTAGCGAAGTTAAATGAAGCGAAATGTTGTCGGTTACTGTGAGTCGTTTGTTGCCGATCCATATGACTACGTTTTGATCGCTGGCTACGCGGCGGTGGCCACGAGATCATAAAGCCATGAACGACGGCCACTGACCATAACTGAAGCAGATCACCACGATTGGGTGTCCCATATCTTGATCACAGGGTGCATGCGTGGTGTAGGACGTTTACTCTTCGGGGTTCGGCTTATAATCTTGGAGCTATAGCAACGTCACAATATACGTTTTACCATGAATGGCTGTTGTATCGAGATTTACCGGAGCGTTAGCGAATGTCCAAATTTCGAAACACAGTACCGAAGCACTACAGACTAACTTGTTTTACGTTTACAGAAGTTAAACATGTGGCATATGGCTACCTTCTTCAGTACGGCAAGAATGGAGTCTGCGATTTCCCCAGTAGCTCTCTACGATACAAATAAAGTCACGTATACTGCAACCTTTTGATTATAATTTCAGAAGCATGCTTGGTTTAATACACCTGCAGATCATAGGAGACCACCATTTCCAGCTTATTGTGGTGGATACAAGGACCAGATAAGGATGGACCAAAGCATGGATCTAGGTAAACAGTCTAGGTCAACCCAGGAACCTCAAATCACCCTTGAAGCATATATATCGTTGTAGTAGAGCAGGTTCCTGAGACCATCTATGTGCTTATGTACGGGTGTGTGTCCATACCAACATAGACTGAACTGGCCGTACTTCGCTCTTACCTCCACCCAGCCCTCCAATACTACCATGATTTCCTGGTCTCTGTAGAGCCCGCTGAAGGGTTCTATGAGATCTACGAGGAGTATGGTAGTACTGGGCTACTGACTGGGTGGGGGAATGGTACCGAAACACTACAATGGGCCAGGCCATGGTGGATACCGTACAACTGCATCTGTACGTAATCCCTCCAGGTGGCCCTCGCTATATAAAACTGACTCTGTCAACAGCACCAGACTAAGAAGTGACAGGTGTTCAGTCCTGTATCAGCACCAGTTGAAGCAAAGGCAAGTCATTGTGGACGTCAGCGAAGTCTGCCAATATGGTACTGGTTTGCCCAGAGCACAGAATCATATGGGGGTCGCCTTGCCAATCAACTGTACCCACACACCAACACCCACATTCAGCGTTCTAACTTCTGGAAACAGGACCTGATACACCAGCAATCTTCAACAACTGTTTCTGTGTTAATAGTATCTTCTTAACGATAATGTAGCAGCAGTGTTGTCAATTTGACCAGAATATAACAGCACTCGCATGCTATCTTCAACATCGTAGCAGTACTCAGTTATAGAACCATCCACACCTTCACTGTGATCATTCCAGTATCCTCATTCCTGCTTGAGACCAGCCACACCAGGTTAAAGCTGTCCAGGCTTTTACCAGGTGACCATTCTCCAGCAGGGTCTCACTAAGAACTCTGGAGCCTGTCCCACCAGTTAGATGTCCATGTTTCTAACTGGAAACTCATCGTTCAAAGCGAAACCCCATCAGCCATCGAACCCATGGATACATCACTGGAATGAAGGACTGAATGGTAGAAAGAGAGAAGAATTGAAAGAGAGGAATTGAAATAAATACCAAATATAGTACACAAAAGTGCTTTTGTAACTGATACATATCTTTGTGCTACGAATGACACATAGATATACTTTCCACCACCGGAACTGATGCCATAATTACAACGGAGAGCTATAGCAAGAGAGGCTTCCCACCTTAGTAAGCTCCCATACTCATCATCTCTCTTTGTACGGTCCTTTTTGTCCATACACCAACATGTTCCAAAATTAAGTGTTCGGATTAGAACATTTTCTATGATACATTTACAGACTACTAAGCAACAGGTGGTGCTAGTCCATCAATCATTTGCAGTTGGAAGCTCCCTCAATAAAGCATGAATGAGCATCTACTATTTAAAATGATACAAATAGAATGATACTAATAAAACTAGCACACCAGCCTTCATATTTCCCCAAAGTATATCAAATTGTAGCCAACACTCCAACTAAGAGAGCTGCAAAGTATGGGCATTTAATCTTCAAAACAGCCTGAGATATAGCCATTCATAGTTTGTATGGTATAATTCAGTAAAACGCATGGATTTGCTTATATCTCAACAACGAAACAAAATTAAGAAATCCTACTATCACACACTAGAACTAATCTCTATCATTCTATACACCGATTCTTGACTTGCTTGGATGAGCTTTCCCATAAAGTTGGTAGCATGATAGCTCAAGAAAATGGTCAAGAGAAATTTGCAGAAATTTATACACTAGATCCAGGATTGGCTACAAATCGTCATCTTGAATTGCTTAGAGGTGTTCTTCAAAACGATGAAGAATATAATAAACTTGAGGACTACATTAGTAAAATTGGTGAATTTCTATCTTAAAACAATCGTTATGCACAGCTGTTATACACAGCTAGATAGATTGTTCAACAGGGAACAACAGAGATGGGATTAACCAGAGAAAAGGCTGTTGTTGAATTTACCAATATTGGTCCAACAGCACCAACAAGTCCAGCACATAGTACTTCTTTATTACCAGAGGTTAAAGTGTTTGGTTTGGTGAGCAGAAGCAATAACAGCAGATCCTTCAATTTCAGTACGTATAAAGGAAACATCTACAGGTGGCTTCACTTTTATCAATACTATGTACAAGAGTGTTTTTTGCTCTTTGAGATGTCCTCTTTTAATAAATAAAGGACGAGACAATTCTTTCCCATACTAACAGGACATAGACTAGTACCACTCTAACTATCCACACCATACACAGGCTTGCAACTACATATACGAAATCTTATGCTACAGTTTTAGAAGGCTCTTTAGGCGTTGATTTCGTGAGTTTCAAAAAATCATCATCCTAATTAAACTGAGGGACTAAGCAGACCCCGCAGCGCAAGTTGTTTGCGATTCTAGCGCGGATTTGAGGTTTACCGGAACGTTAGCGAAGGTCCAAGTCGTGTTCATCATACCGAAGCACTACAGATCAACTTGTAAAGGGCATTAAATATCTCTTTTCCACTGTCGAGGCAAAAGGTTGAGCCATTTCAAACGTGACCATCGCGCTTTAGGTGTCCGAAAAACAGCATAAAATGTAGTACAAAATTACTAGGCAAAAGCATTCGCAAAACTAGCTAAAATAGAATGATTGGAGAGATAGAAAGGTTTAATTTTGTTAGTATGCAGTTTTTACGGTATATACCTGAAGTCCTTGTTAAATTTTGGATAATAAGAAACAATTTTTTCTTGAATTAACAAGAAAATGCAAGAATAATGCAAGAAAATGAAAAGGAATAATTTGAACTAAAATATAAACTGGAACATGTATAAGTAAAAAAAAGGAATATATATAAGATTCCCATTTTTCCATTAAAAATCTCTGATAATGCTATTGGAAACTTGAAATATTATGGATCCTTTGAACTTTTTACCCTACTAATTTAGTGCAATTAGGTGAATTACCATTGGCATCTGTGGTCCCAAATCTTTTCATCTACACACCACACCTAAACCTCGTGGTCAAAACAATAACGCCGACGCTAAACAAATTCCAAGAGGGAGAATAAACGAGTCAATGGACCAAACAACAGATACGCGTAGCTAACGTAATTCATCTTCAACCATAATGTCTCTACCAGACCAGAGCCTTTTTGTTCAGCAATATCCTTGGATGATTAATATGCTCGCTTGTGTGAAGAAGAAAATACCAGCTTCACCAATGACAGAGCAAAGGATCCTAAAGGAACATCTAAACGAATAAAACCATCATTTCAAGCATGAATTGAGCTGTTAAACGATCTTGAAAACAGCCTTTCTTTCAATATGTGGAATCTATTAAGTGATTTGAGAAGACTCTTTGTCGAATTCAACATTTTACAACAATTGGAAGATGCCATAAGTGATCAATCTGAGGATAGTCCTGCAGCAGACTCTCAGGGTAAAAAGTTGGTGCTGAAGAATCTGACAGTTCTCTCTAATAAGAAGAGGACTGTACAGGTGGGTGACAGGAAGCTAAAGTTCAGCGCTGACAAATCAACAAAGTTGTTGAAAGCTACTGTAAAGTCCTCAGAGCTGACTTCAGCACTCCATTTAATATCCCATTCACAGGATGAAATCAAGTGCGGCTACTTCTCCAACTCAATTGATGACAAACTCTATGAAAGTTTGGTACTAACACTCTCATTAGATGCTTGCCATTTGCCTTTATAAAACAGTCAGGGATACAAAGAGGATTTTCTTACATTATACACTATTGTTTGCCAGCCTGGCTCCAAGAGACTTGTTCCTCTGAGTATGATGTTTTTAAAGAACGTAGAGTGTGTATTAGAATGGTTCACCTTCCTGTACACATTTTCCAAGAAGAATGGTGGATCACATTGGAAGAAATTACGAGAATCTCTGCAATTACACGATGATAGTACCAGTGACGTGAGAATTCCCCCCATTACAGATTATATCAGATCAGGATAACGGTATCAAGAAGGCCTTAGATGTGTTGGAAGCCCAGTATGATGTTCTGATTGAGAGCTTCGCATGCTCCAAACATATCAAAAGAGATCTCTTCAAGTGCACAATCGCTAAGCATAGAAGGGTTATGAAAAATAACGTTTCCGGTTCATATTTGAATCTTATACCGAAATGGTACGTCTAATCCAAGAAAGAATGAAGGGGCCTTTCTTTGAGAGGCATAAGACGGACAAAGTCAACAGTACTTATAATCTCATCTCCAACACGCAAGACTGTGCTAGAGGTCTTCAACTTTACAATTCGGTGACTCCAATGCTTGATATCGTGACATCCAACCATTGTGAGATTTTGAATGCAGGGATGGACGCATTTAGACGATTGAACCCAACCAATCTCATAATCGAAGTGCTGTTGATGCAGTGTGAGAAGGTGAAAATCACAGAGTCTGTGACATTTGATTGGAATAAAATGAGACAGATTGGAGATGAAGATGAAATGAATGACACGAGCGACCCTGATGATGATGGAAGAACCGGAAGATATCGAGATACTCAAAACTATGGCTCTTTGTTGTATTCAACAAATTTCATCACTTCTTCTTGTTTAAATAGCAAAGAGACTAGTGTAATTGTTAATAGGAGCCTACCTGGAACACAAATGACGACTCACAAGCATAGTGTATCGTGGGACTGTGATTTGGTTCTTCAGGAGCTTTCAAAAGTGTTGTAAATTATGCGAAGAAGAAGATGAGAAGACGTGATTCGTTTGTCAACGTTCGTGCTTATGTTTATCATCAATTACAACTCTGAAGAGCCGTTGTTACTGAAAAACGTTGCACTATATCAAAAGAGGTGAAAATGGAAGTAAAAGTCTACGTACAGCTGTTCCCATTGTCATAATCAAGCGTATACATTCTTCGAATGTCCTCATATTACTCGTGTGAAGATGAGAAGGCCCTCAACGGCCACGCCCCCTTATCCCATCAATGCCCTGACTTGCCAAAGAGGTGCTCTATGAAGATAGTAGAAAGAAGAACTCCAGTCACTGCCCATCAGGATTCAGATACCAGAGCTGTTTTTTAAAGGCCAATAGATGTATCATACGGAAGACGGCGTCTCAAACTTCCAGGCCAGCGGTGAAGAAATTCAACAAAGAGGTTCTACTGAAGACAGTGCAAGTGTTAAAAGATCATCACGACACTTTGTAGCACCTCAAAGAGAACACAAGAACAACCAGGGAATCGTATACGCTTCCAATAGAATTCCTTCCGCAGCTGAGAAGAAGAGAGGACGAGGACGGCCGAGGAAGTCAGAACAGAAGAGCAATCACAAGACTAAAAAGCTTATGAAAGAAGCTGAGGCAGGTAAAATGAACCTGCATCCAACATAAGATAACTTTCGTACAGACTCATCACAGAGCACTATAATGATCAATGTGCTTTTGATAGTTCTTCAGTTGTATTAACCAACCATATTTTACCAGAAGAGCCCGGCTGTTTCCCCCCTGTATCCATAGAAACAAACTACTACTGCCTCATTTCTGCCCACTACTACTCAACATACCGCATATTATTGCATAAGGCAGCACAAAGGCAGGGACAACAAGTACCAGGCGAGCCATCCGCGTGAAGAAATTCTGCTGCGATCAGCAAACACGCTTATTTTGCTGTTTATACGCCGTCCTGCACCATGATTTAGCCGTAGATATCCACCCCTTCAATGAAGCCCTATGAATGAGTCCATTGTACCCAATAGCCACCCAGCGACCGTTACGCAGTGCCTACCAGATTACGGCCATAGTTGTGCAAAATGCTCGCTTTGGTGTCTTGTATTAAGCAGCTGTAGTTCTCAAATACTTCCTGCGAATTTGATACACAATTTAAGGCAGGGTTTGAGGGAAGCCTTGGTTATTGTAGGCTGCAATATCGTGCTTCCTGAAACAGCATTGGTTTGTTAATCTAAAGGTTATCTCCTCTGATCAATAGTTAGATTCGAAATTAGTTTTCAAAGTCAAATTGAGCTGTGCCTGACCTTTTAGTTACGCTGCAAGCCTTAGGGTTAAGGATATTTAACAGCTATATGAGGCAGGAGATTAAACCGTATTAAGTTCAACAAAAAGATAAACAAGAAGTTCAGATTTCAATGTAAGTAAAAGAATAATCTTCCAATGACAGTTCTTTTTCAGTACTACATACCTCCAGAAGCGCGTTTCAACATACAATGTCTAGTAAATGTTGATGTTCATTGAGGGATGCTTTTTGTAGCTGGCTTGAAACGTCAACATAAAGGAGGGAGAATGTATCACTATGCGTTGTTGCAGATACATTTGGGTTTGAGGCTCAGATCGCCAAACAGGCATAACTTTGAACTTTGCCGCACTTGCCTAATCTTATGCGTGCTGAAGATCTTCACACGTCTGCCTCATATTCTCGCTGTGAGATAACCACAGAGCATCTTAGTAAAACGCTTTAAGGGCTTGATTCCGTGCTGAGCTCCACCATCGGATGATACATACATGAAGTTAAATGTGCCGTTTTTCTAGAGTTCCATTTGGGCGTTGTTTCTAGCAGTCTGTGTGATTGAGGTTAGACAAAAGTAGAATAGGAAGTGCCATTCATAGGTACATTATGCGAAGAATCGTCATCAGAACAACTGGATGATCGAAACACTTGCCCTCTTTTGCACTATTGCTCATTCTGGCCTATAGTCACCACTTTCACTTAGTGTTGGGCATGTCAATACCACCGATTGTCGAAAGCTGGAACATTCAGGGTACAACGAGAATCCAGGAAAATCCTCAAACATCAACTGAATGTTTCTGCATTTACTGATCGACAAAAACCACGGTTTCCATATATTATCGAGCGATGTGAGCTAAACGCTAGAGTATGGAAATTAAAGACGTGTGATACCAAGCACATAGTAGTTGGCTTTCCTGACAACCACTTCTAGTCGCAAAGCTTCTCAGATAGTTTCAAAAATAACCCAACAATTGTACTAAGAGCCATCTACTTCGAAAATTTCCATTAATGATCAAAAAATCGACAATAATTGTTCAGTTGAGACTCCTATGAACTATGATACTGAGCGCGTAGGCCTTAAGTTGCGTAGTACTGAAAGTGCTGGAAGGTTGGTGATGACTACAAATTTGCTAAGGCGTCTTGTGGGACATTTTCCGCGAGCATAACATTGTGAAGTGTAAAGCCTCACATATAATGTGCAGATATCACATTCCACAGATATCCATCGTAGACTGTGACTTCGCATACAAGGCGTGCTTACGTTTGTAAGTTTAGGGTAATACCGTATTGTTCGTTTGTGTTGGAGCCCAACAGTTGCATTTGTTAGGCAAGCCATAATAAACCAAAATCACAATGCAAAAACTACAACAAAATGTATCGCCAACGAACTTGCTGCAAAGATCACAATTCAAATACTAATACACATCTTTCTGTTTCTCTAAATAACCCCAAAGAGACGCTCAGTTACAGCGACAGTGTGGAAAGTTCAACATGGAAACCTTCAATTGAAAAGCAGGATACTTGAGAGAAGAGAATGTGTTCAAGGTTTCAGTACTTCATACTCAAAAGGGGCCAACGTCGATCAGCGAGTAGTGGGAGCTGTCCCCAGCCTTTCCATTTGTTGTTGGTTCATTTAATACACGTCTATTGCCAGCCTATTGGACATCTAATACACTTAACAGGTAACCAACCACTTAGTTCCACTTACACAGTGTGACGCATTACTTGTGCTAGAATAAACATGAAACATATTCTTTCAGAATGCGCTTCTCGGCTATCTTGTACTAGAATAAACAAGAAACATATTCTTTCAGAATGCGCTTCCCGGCTATCTTGTACTTCATAAAGCTTACAGAGTTAACAGGACATAGCATAATACAATCCTTATATGAAAAGAAGCCGTGTGTGATGTACAGCTCAATAGAATTGTAATTCCCTTTTTGGAATAGAACCTTTCCTGCACCATTTTTTTGGGAAATACTACATATGTTTGGCGATGTACGTCTTTGTCTCAGTTATAGCATCTTCTGCATAATGCAAAATTCTTTTCAGTGCCGTTTTTTGATCGGATGAGGAACCTCGGATCGATCGTCGGCAAACCTTTTAACGAACGATTTCTATTCTCCCTTGGTTGTGCCCATAGAGAGAGAGATTCAATAGTCAAACCACCTAAACTAGCTCCGTAGATCACACATTCTTCGTCTTTTCTATTTCTTAATAAGCGCATTAGCTTGTACTGAACCTCACATGCTCTCGCCTACAATATGATGCGCAAAGTT